ATGGGTTTTAGCCTTTAAGGGGGTTACCTTAGTCAAATTTCTTAATTAGAGTGGCAAGCACTAATTACTTATCTATCAAGCTACCATAAACAGTGCAAATAACATTTACATAAAACCTTCATTAAAAAGCTAATGTTTTTGGTCCATAAAACAAAGCCGATTGTTAGATCATTGTCGGTTGTGGCTCTCATACCATGATAGAGTGATGAGAGATATAGAATTAGAAGAATATGTTATTGTTCTCATAAGAATAAATGTATATGAGAGATACACTTATATAGGAAATGAATTAGCCTAATTATCTAACTAATAGAATCATATAAGATATATACATATCTCTAGAATATATTCATAATATCTTCCTTTAATCATATGGATCTTCTAAATCCTTCTATAAACAATTCTATTTTATTCTATTTTTCACGCGTATACTAGATTTATTTAACAAAATGGATTATAGTTCGAGTAATCATGAACAGATTATGTACAAGTTCACATAAAGAATGATCCAAAGTCTTTATGTGAAAATATGAACTACTAGTCATATTATGCTATAAGAATGATCCAAAGTCTTTATGGTCCAAAGTCCAAAGAGATTTCATCACCAATCTCTAGGCTTTCTATAACGAAGTTTTTCAAGGAAGTACTTCGAATACTGTATCTTCATGTTGGTCTTGTTGTTGACTCTTCTAACCCATGTGTTACTTTCAACTCTTTACCATTTGGTAATAAGAGTTTAATCTTCTTCAACTCCTTCATGCGAGTGTTCTCCACGAAAGTCTTGTCGAAACGAAGTCTTCCAGAGTTTAAAATGACTGTCGTAATCGTCACTGTCATGCGTGAAATTTGTGAAGTTGAACTCTCCCCATGAGCAAACGTAGTCTTTCAGAGTTTAAAATATCTGTTGTAATATTAATTTTAAATCTAAACCAAATATTCTAAACATTTATATTTTAAAATATAGAATATCCGGTTCTTAATTTTAAATATGTTTTGATCCAATCCAAATAAAAATATGAAATATTCGGTGTAAGATTTTGAAGTAAATTTTGTACCGGATCATATATGGATAAATATTTAAACCCACCCAATAAAAAAAAATACTTCAAAAATACTAGTATAAATAACTAAATAAGGGAAAATTCCCAAAAAAAACCTCAAGTATTTTTTATTTGGAAGTTTAATGTTTAATATTTTTTGGTTGGAATAAAAATATATTATTTAAATATTACTGGTCGAAAAATATATCATGTTAAAATTGTTGGTAATTTCAAACTTGCGACTTAACAGTTAAATTTTAACCTCTCGTAGTTTAATAGATATTTACAACATGTTTGGAGAATATGATAAGCATATTACCGTAGTCTGGTGGTAAAAGGTTCGTTTTGCAACCCACAGAACCCAGGTTCGATCCTCCGATCCCGCCGATGTAAGCTTGAGATTCGAACATGTACCGTTGCCCCGTAGGGCTTGAGATTCATTTATGACTGAACTTTTTCTTTTTGTTTTGAAGGACATGATTTCATCGTCATCTTATCTTCTTCTCCAACTAACCTTTGTTTTTTTAAAAATGGTTTTAAAGGAAACGTGAACCAGTGGTGAAATCTATGGGAATTAAATCCAATTTGAACTTGTTAATGTACAAAATACTGTAATTAATGGGTGAATTAGGGAACTAATTCTTCAATTGAATCTTCAAATTGGTGAAACGAATTACATAACATCACGATTTAGCATAAATGAGCGATATAGCGTCTTGAAGAAGTAAGGAGGAAGAAGAAGGAGATAAGGCGGAAGGGATTTAGCAGTCATGCGTAAATAGCAGAAGGAAAAGGAGAGATATAGCAGTGGTATAACAAAGGAGAAAAAAAACGACAAGATGTCAATGGGTGAGATTCGAAGGTTAAATGAGTTACAAAATCAAACCGCTACCGCTAGACTACGGTGATATGTTCGTATATTAATCTAAACATGTTCAATTTTGTACAAAAAAAAAAAAAAAAAAAAATCTAAACATGTTCAATATATCTATTTAAATACATGGATATTAAACTCTTCACACAGTCAATGATTCTGTAACGTCCATTAACGGCTGTTAAGTCGCAAGTTTGAAATTACCAATAATTTTAACATGATGTATTTTTCGACCAACAATATTTAAATAATGTATTTTTATTCTAACCAAAAAGTATTGAGCATTAAACTTCTAAATAAAAATAACTTGAAGTTTTTTTTTTAGGAATTCTCCCGTATAAATAATCACTTTCTAAAATGTAAAATATCACATCAAAACTAACAAACCATTTTAGCGTAGGTGCATCTATTGATTTTCTTTAGGAATTTAATACCAAGCTTCTTTTTGTGAAAAAAAAATTGTCATTATGTATTAAGGCTTACGTTTACTAAACGAAATGATGATATGTTGAATCCATCAAATGTTCGAGGCAAAGAGAACAACCTAGAGAGTCGCACTCTGTTAACTTACTTAGTATCTTCTACTAGTTGGCCCTAAAGATCATATCATTGCCTCGTAGATGCATGCAAATATGATTTGTTTAACCTCACAAGTCACACACTTAAGTAATAATATCTCCTTTAAGTCTAAGAGCATCTCCAATGGTAGACATCCATGGAGTGTCTCACAAATATAATATTAATATTTTTATGTTTAATTTATTTAGAGAAACTCACACTAAAATTCTACTTCCATTGGTGAGATATCTCTATGGATGTCTCATCAATATAATATTTATATTTTTATATTAAATTTATTTTTCAATAATATTTTTAAACACATCAATTTATATCTTAAATATAGTCATTCAAACTAAATAATTATATTTTCTATAGAAGTAAATAATATAATGAATATTAATAATTTTAAAAGCATTAATTAATAGTACTATTTATTATAAATAATATATTTTTAAAACCACAATTTAACATAAATTGAATTTTAAACAACATATCAAACCATAATAAAGATATATAAATTAAACAATATGATTAAAATTACACATCATTTTATCAAATAGATTTTAATTATATTGGACATTTTGTAAATAATGACAAAAGATAACACATTATTTATAAAAATATCAAAATATTGACAAAATATCAGATTATTCATCTCATATTTATTTTCTAATATTATAGTATTTTATTAACTAAAAATAGAAATTTATATTTATATTAACCTTAACTAATATCAATTAATAATAAAAAATTTAAACTCTTGTATAATGGAGCTTGATATATAGATAATTTTATTTTATGAATTATAGGAAAATAAAAAATAAAAAATAAAAACTTAAAAACTATTTAATTGATATTATAAATCTTAGAATAATTAAATTTAAAAGGAAATTGTTAAACTAATCTAGGAGTGACATGTGTATGAGAGAGAGAGATTTTCTCACAATGTCTCAAATGAGAAACTTGTATCAAAATGTCTCAACTTTTTTGATTAAAAAAATATTTTTTATTTATTTTTGATTTATTTTTAATATGGATATCTCATGTAGACATTATTGATGGAAGTGCTCTAAGCTTGCTTAACGGGCTTAGAGAATGGGAAAGATTGCTTATCGGGCTTCTTTGGAAGAGTGAGACCCATTGGGCTTTTAGTCATTTTAATCAAACAATGTATTTTCCGACTAGTCAAAACATTTATGGTTTGAACATTGAAGCATAAATAAATGTTTTTAGATGGGTTTTAGCCTTTTAGGGTTACCTTAGTGAAATTTCTTAATTAGAGTGGCAAGCACTAATTACTTTTATCTATCAAGCTACCATAAATAGTGCAAATAACATTTACGTAAAACCAAAAGAGATGATGAATTTAAGCAGTACCTACGATGAAAACAAAATGGTTCTCTATCTCTCTCCAGATGTAAACCAGAGAAACTTAGCCTCTGATCTACCATATTAGCACAAGCTATATACAAGCCTGCTTTGGTTCCTACTAGCCTTCAGACATATAGCAACAGTAGGATCGAGCTAGTTCAAGCAGGGTTTAACATCTGGTTTAGGAACCTGAGGATTCACGCTTGAACTTTGAGCAGAAGCCGGATTAGGAGAACGGTGAGCATAAGCCGGATTAGGAGAACAGTGAGCAGAAGCCGGATTAGGAGAACAGTGAGCAGAAGCCGGATTAGGAGAATTAGCTTGTGGATTTGTTGAGGAAGTGCCATGCTTCACAGAGCAACGAACTAGAGGGGGTGAGTTTTCTCTTTGAATCATGAGCTTGGCAATGAGGTACCCTGGGATATTGATTTCGAGCTTATAATCTCCCACAAGTTCAAGTATTGCCCTCAGTCTTCCTGCATCTTTTTCTTTAGCCTAAAGGAAGAACCAAAACATAGAATCAGTAACTAATTAATCAATTACAAGAACAGGGGAGTGAACAAAAGAGTTAAACCTGGGAGGATTGCGTTGGTCTTTTTCCCAGGACAGACCATCTTAAATTGATGATCTCTTTCTCTAACAAGTGTGAGGGTGAGAACTCTTCATTCAGCTTAAACAGACATACAAGCCGGACTGCAGGAATATACTGCTCTTTCTTGATGAGCGCTTTAACAAACTCTGCAAAAGATAAAGAGTTAAACCTTGATTCATACTTCTTTATATGTGCCAGAAAATTTATAGAAAAATGTGTTTCTGAAGATCTTATGGCTATAAAACTAACTTCGGATTTCACAGTTGAGACTAAGAGATTTGAAGAGTCTTGGAGCCTGTTCGTAATGAGCAATAGACGAAGCAAGTAGAGCAGCTTCTTCTTCATTTATCAAATTCTTTAATCCATATGCCACAATGAACAGAAGAAAGGCTAAGGCCTCGAGAGATGATTTCGGAGCTTCGATGGTTATCTTCCCTTTCCATATAGTTGCCACTTGTGTGGCTTTGTTTTGCAGTTGAGGATCATCTCGTCGCTGAATTTCTATGAGCTCCTCCAAACAAAGAACCAAAATCTCAAGAAATGAGTCATCTTGTAATCCCAATTCCCCACTAATATATTCCTGCACATCTTCCAGAACAAACTCTGCTGGATTAGGTAAAGCTCTAAGATGATAGGCAACTTCATCACGCGAAAGAGAAGGTGAGAATTCATGATCCGTGAGAGCATCTTCACTAAACGGTGCAGAATCTGCTGCAGCTGGCTGCTTCTCATGCTTAACAAGAACAGTGCTCATATGTCTCAGCCGTTTCTTCTTCAAGTCAAGCTCTCTTTGAATTTCACCCAACTCTTTAGATTTAATGTCAAGCTGTTCGCCAGAGATCGTTATTAGATTGTTTAATGCTTGGACTCTCTTTTCTTTGACATCAATGTCAAATTTGAAGTCCTTGCTTGATTCTAGAACACATTCCAACTCCATCTCTTTAGCAACAAGCTCTTCAGATAGTCCCTTGATTAACTGCCAGATAGAATCACGCTGAGTACGCAAGACAACAAGCTCATTGGTATGTTGATCAATCAGCTTTTGGATTTCTCCTAATTCTTTGGATTTCGAGTCAAATGTATTACCACAAACTGTTACCCTGTTGTTTAAAGAATGTATCATCCTTTCTTTCTGCTTAAGGTCAGAACAGGAAAGCCTGATGGATTTTCTCACACATACCAACTTCTTATTCGCAGTAAATAACTTAAATGACCGAATCTTAAGCAGTTTCCGTCGTGACCCTAGTTGCCCATCTACCGTCGCAAGCTGTTTGCCAGATTCTTCAATCTTGTCAAGAATCAGTGCCAAATCTCTCTTCTTTCTATGCATGACACCAAGCTCATTGGTTTGTTGCTCTATTTTCTTTGGGGTATTCATCTTGTTACCTTGTTTAGCTCTTTTCTTCTCATCTTCTTGTTGGCTTGGAATTGTTTGAAGACGAGGAGATTTTCCAAGTTTGAAAACATCTGTGGCCTCACCATCCTCTCTGGACTTGTTTGGTGTGTTCTTTTTTTCATCAACTTCACAAGAAGAAAAAATATGGCTTCTGTTCGTTCCACCTATGACTTCCCCAACATTACTGCATACGCCCATGTCATCATCAGATTTTCGACGTTTCCTTGGAGATGGTGCGGTCTCTGGAACTGGCTTGGCCTTCGCTCCAACCTTGGAAGCTTCGGGAACAGGGCCGTCAGGTTTACCTTTCAGGATCTCACTATCCATCTCCATATCAACCGCATCAACCTGAAATATATCTTTAGGTAATGCAGCAGGATCCAGTTCATATGAGTTAGGTGGAACACATTCTTTCTCTTTTCCAGTCATTTTGACTGCTGGTACTTTGTGAGAAAATCTAAGCATATCTTTCGGAGTAAATTGAATCTGGCAAATTCCATTCTGCGGCTCCCAGTGAAATAGCTGAACAGACCCTTTAAGTTTTCCCAGATAGGCCACTCCAACACCTTTAAGATCATGAAAATCACTGACAATTTCCACAAAGTCATACTTATATGGTAATTTATGCTTTTCTAGACTAGTGTTCCATTCCGCATCCCATTCTCTGAAAATAGCCCATATCTCCCCTTTCCTTGGATATATGGAAACAGTTTTGTTGCAAGACAAGTGATGCATTTGAACTGAAAAGATGAAGCGGTCCTCAACTTCCTCTGTTTTCCCATTTTTGAACTTTCCACAAGCAACTGGAATACTTTCATCATTCTTATCCAGTACAGGATCAAGGTAGGTAATCCACAGCTTGAACTCGCCATTCAGCACTTTCTTTACCCGAGCATATTTCCGAGGCATACCATCTCTAGAATCAGTTGTAGTAGACCACACTTGATTGACAGCAAAATCTCCTGTATTTCGTTCAACTTTAAACGCACTGAACTCTGGATCAGGTATATCAAGCGGATTAGGATTTTCATTAACTTTGTATCCTTTTTCAACTCTACCAATCTTGCTCAACAAGGCTGCATCTTCTCCATTACCATCACAGCCTTCACAAACTTTGTTTTTGCATGACAAGATTTCTTCATTTCCAGAATGCACGTTTTTCTTGGCCTTTCCTTTATAAGGAGAATCAGCCAGTTCAGATGACTGATTATCCTCAGCCGTTTGCTTCGTATCAAACTCAGACTCGAATTCACAACCTGATTTTGTCTTTTTCTTTGGAGGGCTGACAAAATCACCATCGCTTCCACCCTTTGTGCAAAAAACCTGTGGCTTTTTCCTCGATGACTTCCTCTTATTATATTCATGTGTATCTGTTTTAGCCCCAGCAGAGCTATCAACCTCAAAACTTTTAGAGGATTCCTCAACAGCTTTTCTCTTCTTTTTGGCTGCCTGGTTCTTCTTTGGAGCTGATAAATCAGGTATTGACTTTGCCCTAATAAGTGGTTCTTTTACTTGATGCTGCGGCTTCAATATATCAGCCTTAGGTATTTCAGCAGAATTATTCGTACCTGTCTCACTATTCTGGGGGTTTCTTCCTTCAGCGTCATTCTCTGTACAACCCTCGTCTTTCTTGGGTTCCCTGTTAGCAGCACCTTTTTTCTGTTTTTCTTGATTCTTCTTGTTGAGTTTCTTTCCAGCTGTCCCATTCTTACCCATCTCAGCTGCTGAACCGCCTGATTCTGCTCCTGTAGAAGCATTTTGCCGAGATTTTTGCCGAGATGTATTATACATCCCTTGATATTGAAATTCCTTTCTGCCAGCAGTTGAACTACTAGGTGGCACTCCATCACACCTCATGTTGCAGGCGACATAAGATTTCCGGCAACTGGAACAGTACATAACTGTATTTATATATTTTCTCAAGTATTTATACCACTGGCCACAGTGCCTGCAACGTGTCCAGAATGTGTAAACACTTGCAATATTCTCTGCATCATTGTTTGTAGCTGCACAGTGGCGACCCGAGTATGCATGCACTTGCTTTTTAGCAAGCATTGAATGGGATCTGTATCTGTTATCATACTGAGAACGTTTTATTTGATCAGAAAGCAATCTGTTTGCTTCCCCAACCAACTTGAAAGCAGCCTCTGCACTAGCAAACTTGTTTTTGTCTGGATGGAGAAGCAGCGCAAGCTTTCTGTATTGCTTCCTGATTGTGTCAGCATCAGCAAATGGCTGAACCTGAAGGACACCATACCAATCGTCAAGCCCTTTGATTTTCTTAATTGCAGAAGAATGCACATCACATATGGTTATCATCTGCACTATGTTTTCGAGATTGGGGAAGAGTCTTTGCGCCTTGGTAACGAATTTTTGAGCTCCAACAAAATCACCAGCCTCCATCTTTTCCTCTGCTAATTTTCTCGCCCTAATAGCATCTTCTTATTGCATTCCATTGCAACGATAAGCCTCACAAATCAAACCTCCAAAGTCAGCTAAGTCTATGAAACAGCAGCAGAGTCAGGGAACCAATAACTCATAGTCCCTGCAATACAAAAAAAAAGCAGTCACTCACATTGTTATAAACCTATCAGTTCCTAATGCTAATCCGTCACTCTAAAACTCTGTACTCATTGCTTACCAGTTCAGAGACAAGAATTGTGTGACCTGTGAACAATGCACACATCCTTCATCACATAAATAAATCCAATAGGCTTAAGAGTCTGGACTAGAGGATATTACTCGTCCGTGTTCAATTTATAGGGCTGCAGATAAACCAAGCATCAGTAAAAAGCACAATAATCGAAATCAAACCTAAGATTAACATTTTTAGAATAGAATAGTTTAGAACTAATTCACTAATAGAAACGAAATTGTACGGACGATTCGTCTTCCCGAAAACACAAAATCAATGGAGAAACGCATGAAATCAAACTCTTATAATCCAAACATAAATCACCGGAGATACTGATACTATATATATCTCTTTCGAAAATCGAAATCAGAGATCAAAATGTGACTGCATGTACAAGTTCCGATCAAAACGAGGCAATCAACGGAAAATAAAATAAAATTAAAAAAAAATAACCAGCGAAGAGGGAGAAACTAAACCTGAGAACAACGAAGAAAATCCCAGAATCCGTCAACATAAGCAGAAGCTCGAACGGAAGGGAGACGAAACGAAATCGGAGATCG